CTTTTTAGTTGTTTTGCAAATATTCAAGGAAGCCCTCTGGTTTTATGGGTATATTCGAAAATGGTCCCCTTGGATAGCTCAAATACCGAGTGACTCACCAATTTTCTTTTTATGAATAGCCCCGCAACTATAAAATTATATCACTCTCAATTTCACAAATCAATTTGAATGTTTAGTTTAAGAGTGTGTTTGGTAAATACCATAATCTAGTTTATATAATTTATTTGATTAGTTTATAAGTTTTTTGAATGTAAATAAGTTTGGTTTGTAACTTTAATTGGTTAGCTTATAAAATTTTTGTATACAAATAAGTTTGATTTGGTAAGACGAGCTTTTCTATCTTATACACTGTATTGAGTAGTGTTGGAGTATCACTTGTGAGTTGTCTCACATTGATTATATAGGGAAATTGGGCCTAGCTTATATATTTAGTGGGCTACTCCTCCCATCACCAATTGGTTTTGGAATAGAATTTCACTAAGGTGCACCTAGACTCACCCTCTTATGGGGCGTTTCATCTGGTGGGACCGCACTCTCTTCCCCCATTCTATAAATCTAATAAGTAGCTTTCCAAATAAGCACGTAATTGACTTATCAGTTAATTTTATTAAATATATTTTATTATATTAATTAGCTTTCCATCCCGTAACTATAAACTTGAAATTCATTTATAAACTATCAACTAACTTGTCAGCTATTATTTAATACTTTTTATTATATTGACTAATTTTTCATCCAGTAGCTATAAACTTGAAATTCATTTATAAACTATCAGTTAGCTTGAAATTCATTTATAAACTATAAACTAATTTATATCGGCTATTATTTAGTTTATCAACTATTTTTACCAAGCATAACTTTAACTCATGCTATAAAAGTTGGAGAAGTATGTAACTTTTTGTTTTTAAATGTCACTAATTTATGGTATGATGTGGTAATTTATGATGTTTTTTTAGTAATTTATAGTTGTTTGGATNCTGCACATATGTGCATATGACGTTACTATATATGTGCTTATTCATAGTGTTTTTCAATCAATTTCTCCATGGAAACCTACCCACACAATAAAGATTGGTAAAATTGCAAAATTTCTTTTCCATAATGAACTTCCAAACAGAATGTAAATACTTCAACTTTGTTAAATTACTTTGCATAGATCAGTAAAATATCAATATATTCAATCTATTCAGCTAGTTCAAAACAACTAAAACTAGCCCGTTTAACATCTCTAAATCCAAAAACAATCTAGAGTCGATTTCTTGATATGGATTCGAGTCTTGACCCGAGCAGATATACAACTCTCACACAACAAGAACAGAATCTTGATCCACATTTGCGTTTTAAAACAAGCCCACTCATAAACCAGCCTAGTTAAAATTGATTTATACATAGCAATTAGCATTTTATCTGAGTTTAATCAGCACTTCAGAAATTTCGATCATCCAAACACATCCCATCTTACAACATTGTTATATTCCGATGATTAACAAAAACAAACCGGGATTTTGGAGTAAAATTTTTTAGTTTCGCCAGCTGTTTAGCTTCTTAGCCTCAAAGGAGGCTCCATCGTTGAGCATGTCCTGAGCATCAGTCTCCATTCCCAGCTTAGATAGGGCAAGAGCCTGTAAGTAGAAGGCTGTGGGCCACTCGGGCAAGCAAACTTGGGCCTGCATGGCATCTCTAAGGGCTAGTTCGGGCTGGCCCATCATCAAGTAGGAGAGGGCCCGTCTCACGGATACTGTCCCAGATGGTACTGACATCATTGATACCAGCTGCATGTGGAGAAATGATTCGGTACCATTATGCCCTTGATTATGATACAAGTTAATAACCAAAACCAAAATCCTTTTTTTTTTTTTTTTTTTTTTTTTTTTTTTTCTAAATACAACTGTTCTTGGAAGTTGTTTCACTCCCTGAAGATGGAAATATTGACGTGTAACAGGCGTTCTTTTGTAAATTTGGGTAATGCTGGTCCTATAACTTGAGATAAATCAGTGCGTTTGGTAAGCACCATAAGCTAGCTTACAGCTCATTTAGTTAGCTTATAAGCTTTCGGTATACAAATAAGTTTGGTTTGGTAAAACGAACTTTATAAAAAAAACTCGAGTTTATCTCATAAACTTCTTTGGGTAGTTTTCAAATAAGCCCGTTGAAATTTTATTTCAGCTCACTTATCAGCTAATTTTACTAAATACTTCTATCATATCATCTAACTTTTAAGCTAGCTTATTAGGTCAACTAATTTTACCAAACATAGCCCTTACACATGTCTCAAGTAGACAAAGATTATAGCAAAATCACGAACCTTGGAATAATATTCGATGGCGCTCTTGAAGTCCTTGTCCCTGAAAGCAATATCTCCAGATTTTTTCGTGTTCAGCATGTCTTGAACTTGCTGTGTCCATTCTTGGAACGAAAGCTTCAAAAAATATACAACAGATTCCGTATAAATCATACTTCAAATTTTACACAATATATTCTTCAGAAGAAAGGGTATCACTGCATTTTCGCACCTTTATTCACAAAACGTATGATAGTTTCATCTTTTTACCAGAAATATAAGATAGTTTGCGATTTTACCACTAAAAAGTTAAAATAATCTCACCTCGTTTTCTGCACCCTCTTCATCTTTATAACCCGTTTTCAGCAAAATGTCGTGCACTGCAGTAAGATCCATTCTTGCACAAGCCTTTCCCAGAGGAGAAAGCATTGTCGGTAGAATCACAGGGTTTTTCACTAGGTCCATCAGGATATGTGACGCAACCTAAA